AAACATTGCATTTTATTTTTTGTCAAATAAATTTTTTCAAATTAATGAAGAAATACCTTGCTTGTATGATACTCCTATAAGTATTATTATTAAATATTACTATTGTTCTTACCAATAATTGAAAATCACATTTTAGTATACAATATTAATATATTTATGTCATAATTTCTTCAAGTTAAACTGGACTTTTATTTTGACGGGCCGTTGTGAAGGTCTTTCAGTGTCAGTGTGTATTTGATGGTAGTATTTCTCAAAGTAAAGCTTGTGAAGTGACTCTTTGAGCAGCTCTGGAGATGAAGTTCATGTGTTCATGTCTCATATATTGAGACGCAGACGCTGAAGACTCCGTGAGCTGTTTGAGTTTATGTATCAGATGAAACCGCGCCATTCATTCACACAGAGACACGCAGAATGTGCAGAGTTAGCCTATTAGCCACAAGCTAATCTTTATTGTAATACATTTTATCGCGACTCAATTTGACATCGTTTTATCGCCCAGCCCTAGTCGAGTGAGTTATTTCTGTAAGTCTTGATTATGTTTCTCTCTTAGGTCTCCTGCTTTGACTTGTCTTCATCTGTCAGCCAGTAAGTTCAGCGATGTTCCCTCATCCTCGTCCGGAGGAATAGCAGGCTTCCTGTCCAGTGACGCACCTTCAACACAATCGCGTCTAGCCTCTACACAAACCCCCAAAACACAGCCGAGCCCCAAGAGCCCGGGGGCCATCCAGTCTCTGTTTGAGAAAGCCGCTGAGAAGAAGAAACAGCGAGTGGAGGAAGGTAGTAAAGATGAACATGTGTCATCCAGTCTTCCTCAGAAAGCCACTGGCATCTCTTCCTTCTTCCAGAGAAAGAAGCTTCAGCTGGCAGACAGCAGCTCAGTACTGGCTGAAGCCCGGAGCGATTCGGCTCGATGCGAGACGGCCTCTCCGTCTGGTGCGTCCCGTGAGGATGTGAGCGCGTGTGAGCGCTGTGGACTGAAGGTGCTGGTCTGGGAAATGCCTGAACATATGGACTATCATTTCGCTCTGGACTTGCAGAAGTCGTTCTCGTCCTCCTCGGCCTCCAGCGACGGGCCCGTGACGGCCGGAGCGCCGCAGTCGTCCCGTGAGAAGAGCAGGACGAAGACTCGGAGCGGCCCGCAGGCTAAGAGAGTACGAGTGCAGGGAAACAGCGGCACACTGGACTCCTTCTTCAGAAAGACATGACAGCAGTCTCATCCTGCACTTTCATTTGACCAGCTTTTTATATGATCGGGTTTTGATGAGAAATATTTGTGCCTTTCAAATTTTCCTGTTTAATTTGAATAAATACGTTGTTCTACGTAATATTGTGTTCAAAAGCCATTTTTCTACTAAATCTACTAAACACGGGCGCATTGATTAGTCATGATTTCATCTTTTTTTTTTTTTTTTTCAAAGTGCCAAAATGACGTTTTCTGCTTCCTTCACATTGTGGTGTTGTAGATATTTGCAAGCGCATCAGTGTGTACTTTATCACTTTTATAGTCTCCTGTAATCGTTGTTTGTATTTCTAAACAAACCTCTTTCTATGCTAAAGTAGGTCTGTCACTGTCTTCAGTCATTTCTGTGCATGATTATGGTAGTTAAAGAGGTCATAGGATGCCCATTTTCCACACGGCTCGATTTGAGAAAGGGGTAAACATTTAACCAGATTTTTAAAAAAAAACACTGGGTGGATTTTTATGATTATAGGGTGGTTGTGTACACACTGCCAACACACATTTCAGCTCAAACAACTTGCAAAAGTGCATGTAGCATCCTATGACCCCTTTAATGCCACATGCACAGTAATATGTTTTATATTGAAAGTTCAATTTTCAAATGAAAATAACACATACTTTATAAAACGATCATGTTGCTAAGAGCTACATTTTCGCTGGAGGAAACAGCTGTGGTGTGATGAGGGGTGAACGGAGCGAAACTTTACAGTAGATGGGAAACCGATTGCTCCCCAGTGACATTTTGTAAACTGTATTTATGACAAAGAACTGCACAGATGCAGATATTATAACAATCTATCGATAAACACACACCTTGTCCTCTGTTTCGCGCTCTGCGCCGCCGCGCTTTCAGATGAAATTTAAAGGGGACTGAAAAGCCCCCCTAAAAATGGCCTAGCGACGCCCATGCTGACGGCACCCATTCACTGCAGAGGATACACTGGTGAGCAAGTAATGCAATGCTACATTTCTCCAAATCTGATGAAGAAACAAACTCATCTACATCTCGGATGGTCTAAGTGTGAGGACACTTTCAGCAAATGTTCTTTTTTTTTTTTTTTTGGAGTGAGCTATTCCTATAAACAGCACTTATTTACCATGATTTACTTCACACCACTAGAGGGCACCACTTCACCTTGTGCTCAGTGACACATGTCTGTTGATTTTGATGTTTGTTTTGGATCATCTGGAGGCAGACAGGTTTTATTTTTTTGATAGAAACCATGATGCCATCTTTCTGAACAAGACGTCCAGGACCTCCGGCAGAAAAATAAGAAGATTAAAGCATGCATGTTTCATAGTACACATGCTTTTTAAGTGTCATCTGACCATAGAAGCCAGTCCCGTCTGAAGATCCAGTCGTGCCTGACAGCTGAGTATACTGGAGTTTGTTCTTGGATTTGTCTTGAAACCCTCCCAAACATCACATGATCATGTAGGTGCTGTTAGTCTTTCTGACCCCAAGACTCAACTAATCTCTGCAGGTCTCCAGCTGTGATCATCGGAGAGTCTTTGGCCACTCAAACTCTCCTCCTAGCCATGAAATAAGCTGATATAGACAGACGTCCTCTCCACTTGATTTGAACGTCTCAATTATTGCTCTGATGGTGGAAATGGGGATTTTTAATGCTTTAGCTCTTTTCTTACAGCCACTTTCTATTTTGTGATGCTCAACAGTCTTGTTCTGCATCAGAACTACATTCTTTGGTTTTACTCTCTGTGATGGATGATTAAGGGAATTTGGTCTTTGTGTTCCTCATCTTTATATTCCTGTGAAACACAGTCATGGCTGCACTGTAAAAAAAAAAAAAATGTGTGACATTTACGGTAAATTACCGGCAACTGT